ACACTCACTGAACCTCCCTAGAGCTTCTTGGATGATTAATCTTGCTTGAATCTTGAAGAAAATGGAAACACGAATTTCAATCTCCTTTCAACTTCTCTAACCGTTTTCCAACTGTTTCTGGCTCCAAACTTCAGTCTGAATGATTGCACTTGATCAGAAGCTTATATATTTTGTGTTTTGATGGATCAAAAGCCCAATGGAGGTCTAAACCAGCCCAATGGATTTTCAATTTTCCTTGCTGATGGTGAACTTGAAGCTTGTGAAACAGAGCTTGTTCAGAATTTGAATTTGTGCCATTCATGTTGCTGACAATGTATATGATCTAATGGTGGAGGATTCATCCTTATTTTGTGATCAATGGCATGATTTTGGTATGTGACTTAAAGATGAAGCAACATGTGAAATGTCATGGTTCTTTGGTTCAATTTGAAAATCCACAAATGTCAATGTGTTTGAAATATGGAATGCACTCAAAATATGCACAAATTTGCACAAATTTGGTCCATCATGAATTAATTTGATTTTTTGACTCTTAATGACTTTTAATGCCATTTTCATGAAAATTTCTTCATCAAGTCTTCAATCCAAGCCATATCAATGGTTCCTTGATGTTTTTTTGAGCAAATGACCCTATTTTGAGCAACTTTCAAGTTGGAAATATTTTCATTTGAGATGTGCAAGGTGGTGAAATTGACTTATAATCCAAAATGACCTATAATCAAAGTTTCCCAAAATACCCCTGGCTTGCAAGCTTCATATCTTGAGCTTCAAAAATCCAATAAAGGACTTCTAGTACTCTTTGGAAAGCTAAGATTATGAGGAACAACATTCATGTTTGGGTTCAGATGAGGAGAGACATCCTTCTAGCTCAAAAATGTTTTGGAAGTTGGTTGACTTTCAAGTACCAAAATCACATTCATCTGATGACCTGTAAATTGTCTGCTTCATAACTTGAGTCCTAGAAATCATATGAATGACTTCTAGTACTCAAAAGAAAGCTAAGAACATGCTAAGGAATCAAAATGAGATGAAACTTGTGTCTTGAGTTATGTGGTCTTGAAGTTAGGCAGTAAGATAAGGGATTTTACACTGTCAAGCTTAGAAACCCTAGCTTAGCAACTTCTCACACTCTTAAGTATTGATGAATTGATCTTGAAATAATATATGACACGTCTCAAAATAATATTCCATGACCATAGTTTCACTCACAGTTGACTTAGGGTTGACCATGTGAAAACCCTAATTGCAACACATTTGGCTGTGGCCTCTTCAAGGTATCTCATGAGCTCTCCCAATAAATTCTATCCATAACCATGGACTCATAGCCTCCTGATAACCTTCATTGACCCCCAAGATAGGAGGTATGCACACTTGCATTCATCCCTTTCTCCCAAGGAGCCTTGACTTTCTCTGGTGACTTGATGAGGATGCTAAACCTTTATATGCTTGAACACAACCTCTTGATATAATCTTGACCCTTGATAACCTCTTCTTGATAGGCACAATTCTCTCAATCTCATGTACATGGACAATGGTATGCAAATGCTAATGCTATATGAATTCAATGAAACATAAGCTAGGTAAATAAAAGGTTGAGCAAATTTTGGGGTGCAACACCTTCAAACAATTTTCCCAAGACGTCCCATGTTTCCTTTGATGAGTCTATATCACCAACTTTCTCAAAGTTATCAGGACCAACGCATTGATGGATTAAAAGAGAGTTTTATAGTATTTCTCCATCAAATATTTATGTGCAATCTTTTGCCATCTATGGCATTCTCACCAATTAGTGTTACTCCATTCTTTATAAGATCTCAAACGTCTTGATAGCAGAAAGCGACCTTCATCTACTTGCACTAATTATCATAATTTTTACCACTCAAGGTGGGAAGACTTACAAGGAAATTCCCATTGGGATGATTCATATTGATTCAATGCATCCCAAAAATCATAGTCAATGCTCTAGATATCATATGTTAGAATTAACCCCAATCTTGGAGATATTCCAAATCAATCTTGAAGAACAAGAATCAATCTTTCTGAAAGATCACGACTCTTGTTATGCACACTTTACTTGAGTGCCTCAACCACATCTTGATTGCAAGATGATTTTACTTTGCACATAGATTTGAAGAGATGAAAGAAAGTTAAATTTAGGCTTTGAGAATACAGAACTTGGTGGAAGAAGAAGAATATATTTCTCTATGCAACTGGACTAAATTTTATTCCTTGAAAGTATACATAGTGATCTCTCTATTTTACATAGAGTCTATTTCTATTTATAATGAGATTACTTGAACTCCAAGTAATCTCAAAATAACTAATTCAACTAAGTTTAACTCTGCCAAAGAGCCACCTCAATTCGGGATGTCAAAACACCAACCGAATCCTAAGTTGACTTCGGAACAGGTTCGAGAGCTTCTTGAAGTTAACTCCTTCGACAACTACATACTTTGATGTTTGTCAAATACACTTTTACTTAACATAAAGAATTACATATTTAATAGATATTAATCTAAGAGCACTTGGATGAGATGGTAAGAATCTCTTCCAGCTTAACCAGAGGTACTGGGTTCGAACCCGACCTTGGGTACGGAGCAATGATAAAAAAGATTAAGACCATGTGCAGTAACCCGTGTTACACGCCCTCAAAGACGGCTCTAAATAAAAACGGTCAAATTCACCCTAAATAATTCATGATTTTTCTTCCTCTGCATTCAAGTGATATGTCTTGTGATCTACTTTGAATGGAAATATGGCATGATAAATCAAAATATTGAAATTTTTGAATTAGAAAAAGAAATTCAAAATAGTCAAACGTGCGACAACATTTTTTGAATTATACTGATAAATAAGATGTTTAGGGGTGTAAGTCAATCAGAAAAAATTGATTAAACTAATAATCCAAGCTAAATCGAAAAAAATTGTTTGTTTATGGTTTGGTTCAAAAACCAAATTAAACCAATGAAAACTGATGTGGTTTGGTTCAATTCTTGGTTTTAGTTTTTAGAAGATAACTGAATCAATGACTACAGTCATCCACTTAATCTTTTATTTAGCTTATTATTAAGCCCGAGTATTGTATCATTCCAACCGTTCTCCATCTTTGTTTACGTTTCCTTCCTTTCAACAAAATACGAAGCCAAAACCAAACTCAAAACATAGAAATTTGAAAACATAAATCACAAAAACTTCTCTCATTGAACTAGTGCTCTCGTCGACCGCCGCCACTATTGCTCTTGCCATTCTCGTTCTGATATGTTCTTGTCGCCTTCTTCATTTTCAAGTTGTCTTCGTTAGTTTTCATCTTTTTTTTTTATCTTTTTAGTTTCTTCTTCTTCAACAAAATTTTTTCTAGTCTTGTTAAAATTCTTTTTGATGTTTGTTTGAGGTGTGAAGCATATTAATTCATGTGTATTAAAACCTTTTGTTATTATTGTTGTATTTTATTTGTTAAGCTTTCAAATTTCTTTCCAACTTTATGATGTCAATTGCCAACTTTTGTAATTGATAGTGATTTTACTTCATGAAGCAATGAAAATTATGTCATTGCTTCATATGAATTAAGATCATTTTGCAAGTTGTCTAGAAAGTATAACATGAAATAGATTATATGAAATATGATATTTTAAAAAAAAACAAGTAGCATAAAATACACCGAAAAACAAGATAATGGACAAAACACATGCAAATAATGTTTGAAAAAAATAGCATAAAATACAACGGAAAATAAGATAATGGAGCAAGCACATGCATATAATGTTTAAAAAAAATAGCATAAAATACAACGAAAATAAGATAGTGGAGAAAACACATGCATATAATGTTTGAAAAAAAATGTTGAAAATCAATCAAACAAACCAAACTAAACCAAACCAAACCGATTAATTTGGTTGGATTCAATTTTTGAAAACTATTAAAAATCAAACCAAACCAAACTAATGAAAATATCATCGATTCAGACATTTTTTTAATCAAAAATCGGTCCAAACCTAACCAATTACCACCATCAAATTCTAATAAGTGATATGGGTATTTAAAGAATAAAAACTCCTTACAATAAATCGTGTTATCCAAATGTAGGGTTGTTCATGGTATAGTTCATAGAGAAAATCATACCGAATCGAACCAAACCATAGTAAAAATTTACTCGAACTGAACCGAACAGTTTCAATTTATTTAGAACCAAACTGAACTAAAACCATTGGTTTGGTATACCGTTTAGAAATTCCGAACCGTTAAAAGACAATTTTTCTAACCCAACCGTTTATTAAAGAACCGAACCATTAAACTATTTTTTTAAATTTTAAAATAATAAAAATTAAAACTTGTTTTTAGTATTTTTAATTTTCAGTTTCGGTTCAGTTCGGTTACAATTTTTGTTCGGTACGGCTCTAGAACTGTTTTGTATAATATGGTTTGGTTCACTAACCAAACATAACGGTTCGATTATTTTAACTTCAATCCGGTTCAACTCAACAGTTCGGTTCGGTTTATAGATTTTTGAAGAACCCTATCCAAATGTATTCAAAATGTCTTACTAAAATTAAAATCACATACTTGAAAAATGTTACTTGATACCTAGACTTTATATGGTTTAATTAATGCAAAAAGTGGTCATAAAATTCTTTATTTTGAACTGAAGTCAACAAGATATTCACTTAAATTGAATCTAAGTTTAACCAAATAACTCACCGGATTCAAACCTGATCCTAAATTAATTATGTAACAACATATGGTTAAGTTAAAGTGTGCTATTTTTATTTATATATATTTTATGAAGATGTTTATTGTGAATGATCGATCATGCAAATCATGTTGGATTGGTAACTAACAACTAACCATGCTTTTCTTGCTTCCATACATTTGATACCTTTAAAATCAATTTCTCTTACCTTGCAAAGAGTATTTTCAAATCAACTTATTTGAAGTTGTGTAAGGCATCTCCCTCTCTCTCTCTCTCTCTACATTTTATTTTAAAAGAAGAATAAGAACATAACATGGTGAGGTCTGCAAGTTGTGAAAAAAATAGTGTGGCAAAAAGGAGTGTATGGGTCACAGAAGAAGATGTCTCTAGCAATTGGAATTTTGTCCCCAAAAAAACAGGTTAGAGACTTGTTTCTTTTCAAGAAAATACTTTTTTTATTTTATTTAAAATTGATGATGACCATGATATCTAGCCGCCTCAAGTTTTTGTAAACATAAAATTGATGATGACCATGATATCAAGTCGTCTCAAGTTTTTGTAAATATGTATAAATTAGTTGCAGATTAATGATGACAAAATAAATAAAGACCCTAATATTTAATTTGGGTTTACCGGTGACAAACATTTGATGGGGCTGAATCTAATTATGATATAATTCTGATAATTTTGGATCGATAGTCAGCCATACATGTCTTTGACGGCAATTATGATATATGTTTTGAACAGGTATAAAGAGGTGTGGAAAAAATTGCAGACTTAGGTGGAGTAACAACAACAACATGGGTGGTGATGATAAGTTATTCACATCGGAAGAAGAAGATCTTATAGTCAAGCTTCACGCTGCCATAGGTAGTAGGTGGTCAATCATAGCACAACAACTTCCTGGAAGAACAGACAGTGATGTCAAGAACAACTGGAACACAAAGCTCAAAAAGAAACTATCTCAAATGGGGATAGATCCTGTTACACACAAGCCTTTTTCTAAACTCATTGCTGACTATGGAAATATTGGTGCTAAACAAGACTTCAGGAATTCCAACCTAATATTAAAATCAGATCCCAAAATGGATCTTTCACACTTCCAAAAAATTCCAAACACAAAAATAAAGAATGAGACCAATAATGTTGCATCATTTAGTTGGAATGATTTTCTTCTACAAGATGCTTTTGCACCAGCACTTACTAATTACCAAGATCAAACGTTATTTTCAAACGATATTGTGGTCACCAAATTACAATTAGAGAAAAACAAAGATATGGTATCGACATCGTCATCCTCCTCAGACATTTCATTTGTAGAAGCAATACTCGATCAAGAAAATGAAATGTTTCTAAGCTTTCCAGAACTTTTGGAGGAACCATCCCATTACTGATCATTTTATAATATTTTTTCAATAAGGATTCATTTCATTTGTTAGCTTATGATCCGAGTTCTTACCCATGTTCATCATATGTGTGTTTTAATAATGATAGCTCCTCGTTACACTTTTTTTGATTGAAGGCCACTTTCCGTTGTTTCTTATTGGTTTACTCTATATTATCTTACATATACAATTTTTAGTCAAATTCTTAGACAACTGTAATAAGCAGTTGGATACCAATATTTTTAGTAGAAATTAATTAAAAATATTAATTTATTGTTTAAATAAAATATATGTAAAAGACGATAAGGCATTGAAATGTTCATCAAAATTTTAAATTTATTTTAATTCTACTTGACATGGATGTTTGTTAAAATATTTTGGTTTAAATGCATTTAGTCTCTTTATTTTTCTTTATTTTTAGTTCTCCTTTAAAAAAATCAATTTTCAATTCTTTTATTTAATATTTTATGATTTTTTTTACCCTCCCTCCCGCCAAATTTACATATTTGCCACTTTTTAAATAATAAGACACTAATTTGGCAGAATCTATGTGGCAGCATGTCACAAAATTTTGTCACACCATATATTTAAAAAAAGAAAAATTGATTTAATAATATTATTTAATAATAAAATAAAATATTAAATTTAAAAAATAAATTAAAAATTAAAAATTAATTTTTTAAATTATTTATATTTTAAAAGAATAAAAATAATATTTTTATATAAATTTTTATAAATGATTGAATCATAATAGACAAAATAAAATTTTGGCAATCGTGGGCTTTTATAATTCAATATGATCAATTAATTCTGGGTTTTATATTTATTACAAGTTTAATTAGCAACAATAGTATTCTTATTGATATTTCATCAAACACCTTACCCCACACGTCACACTTTCCAAAATCCAACATTGGTTCAAGTTCTTCTCTCCCACCTTCACAACTACCATTTAATAAAAAATTAATATGCATCCAAGCAAAGGGGTACGAGGCTTTGGGATTTGGATCCCCTCCTTTTTTTATATATCATGTCATCTCTCATGTTTCTAATCTAACAGTTCAGAATTTATATGTGAGTTTTTACTATTAAATGACTTATCCATTTCTCTCTCCTATTAAATGACTTTTTTTATTTAATTATTCATTATAAATTCTGAACCGTTAGATTAGAAACATGAGAGATGGCATGATATATAAAAAAGGAGAGGATCCAAATCCGAGGCTTTGATATTCTACCTGACAATATATATGGTGGCATTAGGTAGTTCAATTTTCACATGGAAGCACGACATGATCTCTTATGGAACACACCAATTCAATCCTCAATCAAAGAACCTCTCAACTGACTTCAATGCAACCTATTTTGAATTCTCATTGGGTTGGATTATTGGTCTAGCAATTTTTGTTTGGGTTCAAAGTCATTCTAGTACGAGGATTCTATATTTTTGTTTGGGTTGGATTTTTGAGGACAATTTCATACCAGCTCCATTTCTAACCAAAAAAACCATCAACACAACCTTAAAATCATCATTAGAAGGTGTCCTAACCTTTGGTTTCATCAAAAACTCCACAAAACCAAAAGTCAACTTCTCACACCCTCTAGTTTGACTTTTATGCATAAAACGGAACATCTCACTGCCTAGATCAGTTTGAACCATTTTGACACTTTGAACACTTTCCATTTATGTCATACTAACTGTCTAAGACCTTAAACAAAAACTAGAAATCCCTTTGCTAAAACTGTCCTCAAAAACCACTTGTTGCTTCAAAAGGAAGAAACTTCAAAGGCTTGCATCAAAGGAGGGAGATTTAGCAGCTAGTTTACTGTGGGAAGACTATAAGAGGTATGTGATCCCAAACCTTCTCATTGATATGCATCATGTGTTGAAGTTAATTTTTATGCTTGTTTAAGAGTTGTAACTTTTATGTAAGAGTATCATTGATTTTGTTTGGCATACTGGCTGTTATGAGGTTATGACCTATTATTTGAAGCATGATTGAATGTATGTTAACATTGTAATGTTCAAACCTGCAACTATGCTGTCAAAATGTTTTGAAGTTTGAGTTTGTCAACTCATGACTATTGCTGTTAGAACTTGGCTCTCATGCTAGATGTTGTTTGTTTGAAGTAGTGACTGTCATTATGGCAATGTGTGTATGTTGTTGCTTTTGTAAAAGTACTAATTTATGCTGTTGAAATATAAGGTGCATTGAGTATTGAAATTTTTATGTTGAGCTTGTGATCATTGTTGTTTAAAAACTTGTTTCTCATAACTAAAACCTGCTTGTAAAGTAGTAATTGTCATGAAGGTAGTATGTTTGCACTGTGATGCCAAACTGTGTTGCTGTTTCTGTTTTCAAACAAAATTCTTTTGGACTATGTTTTCTGTTTTGAAAAGTTGTTGACCATGATGACCGTGTTGTTGTTTAAGTCAGTTTGAGTTATATGTGTATTCTTAGTCTTTTGTAAAGACATTGATGCTAAAGCTCCTCATAAGTGTTTTTGAGATTCTTGACTAAGATGCTGAGACAATTGCATTGGCCTGCTCATGGTTATGATTAACCAACTGTTTGAACATATATGTGTCTTGCTTTGTGTTTTGCTATGTCTTGTGCGTCATGTTTGAGTTTCTGCCATGAGTTGTTGGTTGGTGTGTCTTAGGTCATAATGCTTTGTTTATTCATGTCAAACAATATCATGTTGTTCTGTTAAGCCAACTGCCATGACTTTGATGTTTCTAGGTTGTGAATCTTTTAGTGACAGTGTGGTTTAGAGGTTCCTAGGTGATTGATCCAGTTTGCATTTAGCTCTTGATTGATTGAATTTGTATTGGTCTGAGTTGGTGATGGTCTGGGTCTTGCTATTGACTATTCTGTTTTGGTTATTTTCAACTCGTGTTCATTTTTGCAACTCATATGCCAATATCTTGTTCTATTGTCTTTTGAATCATATTTCTGTTGGAACTTCATCTATTGCATATTTAGAACACGTGCATGTCTTTCTCTGATTTGGTTTGCATCTGTTTTGAGCTTGGATTTCCAAAATGCATCTTAAAACCTCATATTGCCTTTCCATTCGAATTTTAATGTGTGTGCATCATTTGAAAAAATGGTTGTTACCATCGTGATCCCCTTTAATTGAGTGCAGAATCAATCTATGGCATACAAGGATCCTAACCACATGAGAATTGAGTGCTAAATCATCATGGATTGTGAGGAAAGTTGAAAAGTAAATACCTGGTTAGAAGCTTGCACAGAACCTTCAAAACTTGCTGAAGCTTGATGATTTTGATCCAGAAACACTCACTGAACCTTCCTAGAGCTTCTTGGATGATTAATCTTGCTTGAATCCTGAAGAAAATGGAAACACGAATTTCAATCTCCTTTCAACTTCTCTAACCGTTTTCCAACTGTTTCTGGCTCCAAACTTCAGTCTGAACGATTGCACATGATCATAAGCTTATATATTTTGTGTTTTGATGGATCAAAAGCCCAATGGAGGTCTAAACCAGCCCAACGGATTTTCAATTTTCCTTGCTCATGGTGAACTTGAAGCTTGTGAAACAAAGCCTGTTCAACTTTGAATTTGTGCCATTCATGTTGTTGGCAATGTATATGATCTAATGGTGGAGGATCCATCCTTGTTTTGTGATCAATGGCATGATTTTGGTATGTGACTTAAAGATGAAGCAACATGTGAAATGTCATGGTTCTTTGGTTCAATTTGCAAATCCACAAATGTCAATGTGTTTGAAATATGGAATTCACTCAAAATATGCATAAATTTGCACAAATTTGGTTCATCATGAATTAATTTGATTTTTTGACTCTTAATGACTTTTAATGCCCTTCATGAAAATTTCTCCATCAAGTCTTCAATCCAAGCCATATCAATGGTTCCTTGATTTTTGGTTGAGAAAATGACCCAATTTTGAGCAGCTTTCATGTTGGAAAGATTTTCATTTGAGATGTGCAAGGTGGTGAAATTGACCTATAATCCAAAACGACCTGTAATCAAAGTTTCCCAAAATACCCCTGCCTTGCAAGCTTCATATCTTGAGCTTCACAAATCCAATAAAGGACTTCTAGTACTATTTGGAAAGCTAAGATTATGAGGAAAAATATTCATGTTTGGGTCCAGATAAGGAGAGACATCCTTCTAGCTCAAAAATGTCTTGGAAGTTGGTTGACTTTCAAGTACCAAAATCACATTCATCTGATGACCTGTAACTTGTCTGCTTCATTACTTGAGTTCTAGAATTCAGATGAATGACTTCTAGTACTCAAAAGAAAGCTAAGAACATGCTCTACAAGTCTCATGTTGGAGTCAAGATGAGATGAAACTTGTGTCTTGAGTTATGTGGTCTTGAAGTTAGGCACCAAGATAGGGGATTTTACATTGTCAAGCTTAGAAACCCTAGCTTAGAAACTTCTCACACTCTTAAGTATTGATGAATTGATCTTGAAATAATATATGACATGTCTCAACATAACATTACATGACCATAGTTTCACTCACAGTTGACTTAGGGTTGACCAGGTGAAAACCCTAATTGCAACACATTTAGCTGTGGCCTCTTGCACTTTGAATAATGACTTGGATAAGCTCCTCAATGACCTTCAAGGTATCTCATGAGCTCTTCCAATAGATTCTATCCATAACCATGGACTCATAGCCTCCTGATGACCTTCATTGACCCTCAAGATAGGAGGTATGCACACTTGTGTTCATCCATTTCTCCCAAGGAACCTTGACTTTCTCTGGTGACTTGATGAGGATGATAAACCTTTATATGCTTGAACACAACCTCTTGATTTAATCTAGACCCTTGATAACCTCTTCTTGATAGGAACAATTCTCTCAATCTCCTATACATGGACAATGGTATGCAAATGCTAATTCTATATGAATGCAATGAAACATAAGCTAGGTAAAGAAAAGGTTGAGCAAATTTTAGGGTGCAACAGCTGCCCCTATTCAAACGACTTGGACCTGACTGGGTGAGA